TTATTCAAGCATCCTTTATTGTATTCAAATTTGCTCAAGTTTTAATCTTCAATCAATCAAGCAAGAATCCAAGTTTTCATCTTTCATTATTCCTTTCTTTAGTAATCTCTTCTCCTTTCCTGTAGTTTTATTTATTTGTTTTATTGTCACTTATTCTTGTTAATCTTATTAGTTCATCTAGTTGTTATTGATTTAATTTATTTTAATCATGTTTTGTTTTGAGTTTTTTGAGTTAATTTCTAGTTTTGATATTATGTTTAATCTCCCTTCTCTAGCCTAAACTTTTAGCTAGGGGAAGGGGGTGGAAGGTATGAGCTGATATTGGATGAATGATGATGGTTGGATTGAACTTATGCCATAAATTGATGAAAGACATGATTTTTAATAGCTTGAGATTATTGTTTCTCTCTATTTGATGTTTTCTAGTTTAAATGCATGAAAGTGATTTGAAATATATTATGATCATCTCTATTTTAATGACTGCATGAGAATGAGTTATTAAAGTGGAGTTTTTATGGATTGTGCTTCTTTATTCTCTTGATTTTATTGTAAATAATAGGATGCATGAGAATGATCCTTATTAGTGTAGACCTCTTTCATTGACTTGCCTAGAATATTGCACGAGAATGAATTGTTTAGGTAGAATCTTGTGTTCTTTGGCATGTGTTTCATGATAATCACCATTATTCCCCTCTTTATAATCATATTGGACAACCCCGTATCCCTAGCATCATTTTCCCATGATTTTAATCATCATTTTCTTGCTTATTTATAGTTTTAGTGTTCTTACTCAACAAAACCAACAAAAACAATCCCCTTTTTACTCTTGCATTAGTGATTATTAACGTTGAATTAGTGTGCTTCCCTAGTGGTTCGACCCTTTACTTGCAACTAACTAGTTTAGTGTAGGTTTAGGTATTATAAATGATTAATTTGATTAGGGTAGTAGCTTAACGACCTATCTTATCTCGATAAAATTTTGGCGCCGTTACCGGGGAAGCGGCTTGTTTAGCGTCTAATATTGCTTTTGTTAGAGTCATTTTACTTTCTTTTCTTTTTGTTTTATTTGTTTTATCATCCTTTTCATTGCTAATTGTTTGCTTAGCTTTAGTGAACGCTTAGGAGGTCTCAAGGAGCAACCATTGCCTATCTTTCCCCTGCCTAATCTTGAGTTGACCGCTTTTTCCCCTAGGCAAGAGTCATACATATATGACCTTTTAGTTTCCCATGCCAGGGGGCAAGCACCACTTGTTCCACCACCACCCCAACCTAAGCCCGAGGTAGTGCCTTCACCACCTCGCATGTCTCATACATCCCCACCTCCTCCTCATAGCGACTTTGAGGCAGTCTTGGATCTTTAGAGTATAGGTTAGGCCATAGGACGCATAGAGTATTCACATAGCGACCTTAGGAGCATGGCGGGCTCCTGATGAGTGGCATTTATGCCACTCTTTTATCCTTTTTCTCTAAGGATTCTCCCCTCATTTGCACGTGTTTGGCCCTTTTTCTAAGCATTTTTACCTAGTTTTGTTTCCTCCATTCGTTTCTCCTTTATGTTCCCTTTTCTTAGTCTTCTCGCCTTCTCTTTATTTTGATTTCCATGCTTTTGTTTTGTAGGTATTTTGTGCCGAAAGAAAGAGGATTTCAAGGAGCCAAGCAAACTATTCTGCGCGGGATGCTATGTTCCGCGGGTGCGCACCCATGGTTGTGCGGGCGCGTAGCCCTGTCAGAACCCGCGCAGCCAGGCTGAAGAAACAGAGCCAAACCAGAGAGTTTGCGTGACCTATTGTGCGGCTTTTGTGCAGGCGCGCGACCTGGTGCGCGGGCGCGCAAGTTTGCTGTGTGGTCGTGCTAGATTTCCCCGTACCCTCAAAGTTGCGGCCGCGCACTATGCTGAGAGGGCACACACATCTACTGCGTGGGCGCGCATATGTCGTTTGCGGGCTCGCACCGCTGGGTTTCTGACTTCCTTGCGCCTTTTTCCCAAGTTTCTTTCTTTTGGGGGGAGCCACATATATATAGACGAGACTCTTTGTAAAAGAGGACACTAAGTACTAATTCCATAGAATATTAGCCTAATCTAGAGAGAGAAAGTAGATTGTTATTCAAGCATCCTTTTTGTATTCAACTTTGCTCAAGTTTTAATCTTCAATCAATCAAGCAAGAATCCAAGTTTTCATCTTTCATTAATCCTTTCTTTAGTAATCTCTTCTCCTTTCCTTTAGTTTTATTTATTTGTTTTATTATCACTTATTCTTGTTAATCTTATTAGTTCATCTAGTTGTTATTGATTTAATTTATTTTAATCATGTTTTGTTTTGAGTTTTTTGAGTTAATTTCTAGTTTTGATATTATGTTTAATCTCCCTTCTCTAGCCTAAACTTTTAGCTAGGGGAAGGGGGTGGAAGGTATGAGCTGATATTGGATGAATGATGATGGTTGGATTGAACTTATGTCATAAATTGATGAAAGACATGATTTTTAATAGCTTGAGATTATTGTTGCTCTCTATTTGATGTTTTCTAGTTTAAATGCATGAAAGTGATTTGAAATATATTATGATCATCTCTATTTTAATGACTGCATGAGAATGAGTTATTAAAGTGGAGTTTTTATGGATTGTGCTTCTTTATTCTCTTGGTTTTATTGTAAATAATAGGATGCATGAGAATGATCCTTATTAGTGTAGACCTCTTTCATTGACTTGCCTAGACTATTGCACGAGAATGAATTGTTTAGGTAGAATCTTGTGTTCTTTGGCATGTGTTTCATGATAATCACCATTATTCCCCTCTTTATAATCATATTGGACAACCCCGTATCCCTAGCATCATTTTCCCATGATTTTAATCATCATTTTCTTGCTTATTTTTAGTTTTAGTGTTCTTACTCAACAAAACCAACAAAACAATCCCCTTTTTACTCTTGCATTAGTGATTATTGACGTTGAATTAGTGTGCTTCCCTAGTGGTTCGACCCTTTACTTGCAACTAACTAGTTTAGTGTAGGTTTAGGTATTATAAATGATTAATTTGATTAGGGTAGTAGCTTAACGACCTATCTTATCCCGATCAAAATTTGGCGCCGTTACCGGGGAAGCGGCTTGTTTAGCGTCTATTATTGCTTTTGTTAGAGTCATTTTACTTTCTTTTCTTTTTGTTTTATTTGTTTTATCATCCTTTTCATTGCTAATTGTTTGCTTAGCTTTAGTGAATGCTTAGGAGGTCTCAAGGAGCACCCTTACATCAAATTGACCACCAGATCAACTGAACCTTGAGACAAGTCCGTAGGCTTTATCAAGACGAGAGAAGTGGTTTTGGTGAAATAATTGATAGTGAGAGTGATACTTACTCTACAAGTTCACCAAGTGGATCAATGGCGGGACAAGAAAATGATGTTTTGTTTCATGAGTTCGGAAATCCGGAGGATTATGAGCTCACGGGAGGGATTTTGCTACCCGTCACGGATACCAACTTCTCAATCCATCCACAATATACTAGAATGGTCCAATCGGAGCAATTTTTCGGAAGTGCAAGTGAGGACCCTATTGAAAATTTGGACCGATTCCTTGAATTGTGCGTAATGATGCAAATCAATGAAGTGAGTCAAGACTACATTCGTATACACCTTTTCCGGCAATCTCTCACCGGACGAGCAAAGAAATGGCTAAAGAAAGTAAAGCCTAACACTCTCACAACATGGAGGGAGGTGGTAAAGGCGTTCTTGAAGAGATTTATCTACGAGGAGAAGACCGCCAAAATGAGAAGGAAAATCTCATTATTTGAGAAAGAAGCCGATAAAAGTCTTGGTGAAGCATGGGAGAGATTCAAAGAGTTGGTACAATTATGTCCCCACCATGAGTACAATCAAGGGTTACTTATGCAGCTTTTCTACGACGGATTGGAGCCCATGTCAAGAGCCAATTTGGATGCGGGGGCGGGTGGTCAATTAATCAAAATCCCTCAAAATCAAGGTGAAGCCACAATAGAAGAGATATCAAAGAATTACTTTTGGGGGAGGGGGGGAGGGGGCTGAAGAAGAAATGCTCCAAAGAAAGGTGGTATTTACGAATTGGAGAAAGTTGATCAATTACAACATCAAATTGATTAACTAACAAATGGGCTTTCCAAGTTGAACACGAGTGCGAATGCAAGTTCAAGCGGTTGAGCAAGCTCCTCTCAAGTTAACTCTTTCTCTTATCAAAATTGTGGAGGAACGAACCATAATACATCTTATTGTGGAGGTTTAAGCCCCGAGCATGTAGCGGCATACAACACAAGGAAAGAGAGATTTAGAGGAAGCGGCGGTGGAGTAGCTTGGAGACAACCACCACCCGGGTTTGTACCTCAACCTCAACAATGGAACCAACAAGCTCAAACTTCCTACACTTCCAACCCACAATATCAAAATCCACCTCCATCTCAACCCAAAACCCAAGAGGAAGCTATCCAAGGAATAACCAATACAACAATCAAACCCAAGCACCTCAAAGAAATCATCAAGAACAAGCACCTCAAGCGGAGCTAACTCAAACTCAATTCCTCCAAGCCATGCATGCGCAAATGCAATCTTGTGGGCAACAAATGCAAGAGATAAGAGCTCACAAGAAGATGGTTGATTCACAACTAGCTCAATTGGCCGAGAGAACTCCTTTTAATTCACCATCTACTCTACCTGGACAACCATAACCTAACCCATCTCACAACCCAAAACCTGATACATGCAAGGCAATCACATTGAGGTCGGGAACTTCCTATGAAGGGCCAAATGAAGGGGATAGTGAGGAAAAGAAGGGAGGAGAGGAAAGTGTTAATTAAAACAAAGGAGGTGAGAAAGAAAAGGGTGATGAGATAGATGGAGGTTCGGAGAAGAAGAATCTTAAAAATGAAAAGACAACTTCAATTTCTAGTGAGGCTAGGAATCTTGATTGACTGGTTCCTTTTCCCGTTGGGCTTGCGGAGAGGAAGTTGAATGACAAGTTTGCAAAATTTCTTAGTGTCATGAAGAATTTGCATATCAACCTCCCTTTTCTTGAAGTTGTGACACAAATTCCATCTTACTCCAAGTTCCTCAAAGATATTCTCACCAACAAGAGGAATCTCAATGATGAGCTTATCACCCTTCCACATCAAGTGAGTGCTCTTGTCCAACATAAGAAGCCCAAGAAGGAAAAAGACCCGAGATGTTTCACTTTGTTGGTAAAAGTTGGGAACATGGAAGCTAGGGGCACCGTAGTCGATCTTGGAGCAAGTGTTAGTTTAATCCCTCTATCCATTGCTCAAAAACTCAATATAGGAATGATCCCTACACGGAAGACAATTAAATTGGCCGATCGGTCGGTGAAATTACCTTGTGGAGAGCTTGAGGATGTTCCAATTCAAGTGAGATACATCTACGTGCCGTATGACTTTGTAGTGATGGATATGGAGGAAGATGTTAATACTCCTTTGATTTTGGGACATGAAGCTCTTAAAACTTTGGGGGCGGTCATCAAATGCAAGAACAACATTATCACATGTGAGGTGGCCGATGAGAAGATTGTCTTTGAGTTTTCTAAGTTGCTCAAGACCCCCATGGTTGAAAAATGCTATAGAGTTGATTTTGTGAATAAGGAGCTAGATCGCTTGGGGAAGGTCGTGATGAGGCCTCAAGATCCAATAATAGCAGCTCTTACATGCAAAGAAGATTTTCACTCTCAAGAGGCTAAAGAGTTTGTCATGGCAATTGAGGAATCCTCAAAGGAGGAGGTTGAACAACAAGTTGAGATCGAGCTTGAGTCCAAGGAGGAGAAGTTGGAGGAGAGTTCTAAGCCTCCTCCCAAGGTAGAACTCAAGCCCCTTCCCCCTTCTTTGAAATATGCTTTTCTTGATAAGGAGGGAAAATACCCTATTATTGTCAATTCTACCCTAGATGGTCTTAATTTGGAAAAACTTTTTGATGTTTTGAGAAAATATAAGGATGTGATAGGTTATAGCATTGATGATATCAAAGGTATTAGGCCTTCTTTATGCATGCATCGTATTCATCTTGAAGATGATCATTCAACCTCCATTGAACCTCAAAGAAGGTTGAACCCCAACCCTCAAAAGGTTGTGAATAATGAAATTTTGAAACTACGTGAGGCGGGCATCATCTATGCTATCTCTGATAGAAAATGGGTTAGCCCGGTTCATGTAGTTCGAAAGAAGGGTGGAATGACCATATTCAAGGATGAAAAGAGAGAGGAAATCTCCACTCGGACGGTGATCGGGTGGAGAATGTGCATTGATTATAGGAGATTGAACAAAAACACCAAGAAATATCATTTTCCTCTCCCTTTCATGGACCAAATGCTTGAAAGGCTTTCTAACCATGCTTTCTTTTGTTTCTTGGATGGGTACTCTGGATTTTTCCAAATCCCTATCCATCTAAGTGATCAAAGGAAAACTAATTTCACATGTCCATATGGGACATTTTCATACCAAAGAATGCCATTCAGATTATGCAATGCTCCCTCTACTTTTCAAAGATGCATGACTTCCATTTTCTCTGAGATGCTTGAAAAATAAGTTGAAGTTTTCATGGATGATTTTAGTGTTGGTGGCTCGTCTTTTGACACTTGTCTTTTTAACCTTGAAAAAGTTTTGAAAAGGTGTCAAGAGACGAGTTTGGTTTTAAATTGGGAAAAGTGCCATTTTATGGTCGAGGAGGGCATTTTCCTCGGCTATAAGGTTTCAAAAAATTGCATTGAGGTTGATCCGGCCAAAGGTTCGGTGATTGAAAAGTTGCCCCCTCCTACTTCCATCACGGGGGTACGAGCTTTTCTTGGGCATGCCGGTTCTTACCGGAGGTTTATCAAAGATTTTTCATCAATCGCCAAACCTTTGACCGAATTACTCAAAAAGGAGGTTGTTTTTAGCTTCAATAAGGCTTGCCTTGAGGCATTTCGTAAGCTCAAGGAAGCCCTCATTTCTTCTCTTGTTGTGCAAGCTTCGGATTGGAGCTTGCCTTTTGAGCTAATGTGCGATGATAGTGACTTTGCAGTAGGTTCCGTTCTTGGTCAAAAGAAAGAAGGAAAATCATGTGTCATCTACTATGCAAGTAGGACTCTCGATGAGGCTCAAAAGAATTATACATCAACGGAGAAAGAGATGCTAGCGGTAGTGTTTGCATTGATAAGTTTCGGTCCTATCTTATATGCTCAAAAGTTATTGTGTACACGGATCACATCGCGGTGCGATATCTCATGACCAAGAAAGAAGCAATGCCTCGCTTGATCCGTTGGTTTCTCTCTCTCCAAGACTTTCACATGGAAATGAGGGAGAAAAAGGGAGCGGAGAACTATGTAGCGGATCATTTGTCTAGGATACCTTTTGAGAACAAGGAGGATATACCGATTAATGATGAGATAGGATTCGAGGCTCTCATGGCTATGGTGTCAACTTATACCCCTTGGTATGCGGATATAGCAAACTATCATGCTTGTGGAGTCGTTCCCCCGGAGTTTTCTTCTCAATAAAAGAAGAAGTTTTTCAAGGAAGTGAGGAGGTGCTTTTGGAACGGCCCATACCTATTCAAGCAATGTGGAGGTAGCCTTTTTCGGAAGTGTATTCTAGATCATGAAATTAAAGGAGTTCTTGAGCATTGCCACTCACTACCATGTGGAGGACATGGTGGTGTTGACAAAACAGTGGCAAAAATCTCTCAATCTTTATTTTGGTGGTCGACAATGCATAAAGACGCCCACAAATTTGTTGCGCAATGCGATAGATGTCAAAGGAGCGGATGCATTACCAAGAGGGACGAAACGCCCCAACAAAGTGTTTTAGAAGTTGAGCCATTTGATGTATGGGGAGTGGACTTTATGGGGCCTTTCGTTTCTTCTTGTGGAAATCTATATATCTTGGTAGCGGTTGATTATGTAATGAAATGGATTGAAGCTATAGCCTCACCTACCAATGATCACAAGGTTGTGCTTAAGCTTTTAAAGAAGATCATTTTTCCTAGGTTTGGGGTTCCGAGGGTGCTAATTAGTGATGGAGGCTCCCATTTCGCCAAAAGGCAATTTGAAGCTCTTCTCAAGAGGTATGGCGTCCATCACAAGGTTGGATTACCTTACCACCCTAAAACTCAAGGACAAGTGGAGGTCTCGAATCGTGAAATCAAAAATCTTCTTAAAAGGATGGTGAACAAATCAAGGAAAGATTGGTCTCTCAAACTTGATGACACACTATGGGCTCTTAGGACAGCGTACAAGACTCCAATCGGCACGACCCCCTATAGGTTGGTCTATGGAAAGGCTTGTCACTTGCAGGTTGAGATATAATACAAGGCTTGGTGGGCCATCAAAGAGCTAAATATGGATTTATCGTTGGCCGGTGAGAAGAGATTGCTTAAGCTCAATGAAATTGAAGATCTTATAGATGATGCTTATGAGAGCTCAAGGTTATATAAGGAGAAGACCAAAAAGTGGCATGACCAACATATTTGAAACAAGGACTTTAATGTTGGAGACAAGGTTTTGCTTTTCAACTCAAGGCTTCGTTTGTTTCCGGGTAAAATCAAATCAAAGTGGTTGGTTCCTTTTGTGATATCAAATACTACTCCTTATCGCTCCTTTGAGTTAGATGCGGACGGTAACAAGTTTATGGTTAATGGTCATCGTTTAAAGCATTACTTTTGCAAGGAAGAAATTGGTATCATCGAATGTATAATGCTTGATCCTTTGGATCCCAAGCCTCCCACTTGATGAATTTTCCTCATGGTCAAGCTAGTGACCTCATAAAGAAACGCTTCTCGGGAGGCAACTCGAGTTTCTAACTCCTATCTATATATATATTTTTTAATATTCCGATTTCACTTTCTTCTTTGAATTTGAATTTTATTTTTCCCCTTTTGGTTGATAGGTGTTTGGATGATGAAGGAGTAAAGGATTTTCTATATCGAAGATGAGAGGATAAAGAAATTGAAGTTAGCACTGCGCGACCCTGTGCGCGAATTCTGTGCGGGCGCGCAGTGTAAAGTGTGCGGGCGTGCAGCCCTGTCAGAACCCGCACACTTTTATTCAAAATTGGAGATTTGAGACAGAAGGTTTGCCCAACCTCTGTGCGGGCGCGCAGGGAAGGGTGTGCGGGCGCACAATCACTGTCAAAACCCGCACACTTTTACTCAAAAATAGAAAATTGAGGCAGTGAGTCTGCGCGACCCATGTGCGGGCGCGCAGAGCTAGGAAAATCGGGTTTTAACCTCTTTTTCCCCATTTCGCCCTCATATTTTCACAAACCTTATTTCATGCTCTCTTCTCTCTCCTCACAAACTAAAACCCTAACCTTCTAATTTCACCCATTTCTCACAAATTCCATTGATTTTCCTTCAAATCCATCAAAATTTTTCACTTTACTCACAAATTTACCCACTTTCTCCTTCCAAAATACCCAAAAATCCTCCATTTTCATGGAGTGCAAGCTAAGTTGAAGGTGGTGTTCTTGGGGGTTCTTAGTGGTGTTCAAGCTTCTACTAAGTGGTATAACTCTAAATTTTGCTATTTTATTGCTTTGTTTCACTTGTTTATGAAAATTTTTTAGTTATTACACATGGTTTAGCTTGAGTAAGTTTCATGTGATTTTGATTTTCTTTGCTAAGGATTTGTTGGTTGTTAGTGTGATATTTAGTGATTTTGGGACATTTCTATTAACATTATTGATTTGGAAGCTACATTCATGAAATTAAGTTGAGCAATTTTGTGTTAGTATTGATGATAATGCAACTATTTTTATGAAAATTGCTTATTATCATAATGTATTGTGATTGAGTGCTTTGTCGTTGATTCTAGTTGTTTTTGGAGCTATATTTGTGTGGTTAGTTGTTGGTACTAACCTTTTTGCAGATCGTTAAGGCTTGGGTTGTTGTTGTTGTGTTTCAATTATTGGTTGAGTTCGAAGGGATTTCTCTTTTGGTTTAGTTATTTGTATTATTTGAGGCCTCAATGAGCAAAAGGCAGAGTAGAAAAGAGCCCCGATTAAGGGTTGAGGAACCAAGTACTCAAACTCAACAAACTCAAGATCAAGGACAAAATGTTCCCCCTCGATTAAAATTCTTGAACAAGGTCCATGCTACTTTCTTTAAGGACCTTCAAGGACGAAAGCTAAATCCCTCGAGACACTATGATCAACGCTCCATGAGAGCTTTGGGGATTAACGATGACATAAGGTCGCTCCTTGACAGCTTAGGGATAAAAGAGTTCATCAAGCATCAATTTCGAACATATAAAGAGCCGACCTTTGAATTATTGGCCTCATTTGAAAAAGAGCCTTATGGGAATAACGACTTCCAAATTTCCTTCCAACTATTTAACAACAAGCACACTATGACTCTTAGTGATCTCAATACATTGTTGGATTTAAACCCCGAGGCGGACCTCCGTGCCCCTTCATTGAGCCTATTCCCAGATTACGATGCATTTCGATAGTTGCAAACTGTGGGGAATAATTTCAAGCGTTAATCCCCTAGCTTGAACCCCACTGTGATCATACACTTAAGTACGGTGGCGTCCAAAAGGGAAGAAGATAGAGAAAAAGAGTCGCCAACAAGTTTTAGGAACTTGTAAACCGTTCACAGGGTGAAGGTTACACCCCTCAACGATACAAGAGATCGTCAATTCCATAAGGTCTTGAACCAAATAAGGGTTCGGGGATGAAGGTACAAATCCAACCTAAAAGAGATTGAACCTGCCCTAATAATAGGCCTCTACTTTATTCTGATTGTATTCATGTGCGCTTTTGACTAACATGCAATCAATAGGATTTACCCTAAACCTGTTTATCTATGTTGGTTGAATATAATGCACAAATAAATCTATTATTGGTGATCACTTCAATTATAATCAAATTAACCCTAAACAAGATTATTTATTATCTTATTAAGCGTGATTACAAGTACGAAATTCCCTTTAAACAAGTATAAAAGGTGTGATCAAGCAATAAATAATAATTATCAAGCAACATAACAAATAAATATCGTGTAAATAAAAACCATCATAACAATAATCGAAATAATAATTCTAATCATAATCATAACAATAACCATCAATAATATTAATCATAATAATAATAATTATAGCAATAATAAAATTATAATCATTATCAAAATAATTATAAAAATAATCATAAATCATGTTAAAGCATAAAAAATAGCAAGATCCTAGGCATGATACTAACACGATTAATAGCAAACCCTATCATGTCACTAAGCAATAAAAATCAAATCTTTAGCCCTAACATGATACTAACAATCATAAGTATTAGGAAGAACATAAAAGGCCTCATAACACTCATATTTAATATTAAAATTACCCTAAACATGATACTAGGAATATCATAAAAACAATTTAAACATGATTTCTACATCATAACATCAATAAATCAATCAAAGTACTTACTTTGATGCCTCGTACCTCTTTCTAATAACAAAATACAAACGTTAGTAACTTGAAGGAAAATAATAACGAAAACAATTAAATTAAATAATTGAAAGAGATATTTGGGACCAATCCCTCAGAAATTAAACCTTTCACATCTAGGGCGAAGGCAACTTCAAATATGGATAGGTGTTTCTAGATCTTGTGAATGCGGAATTTTGTATTTGAAAAGCAAGTTTAGAAAAAGAGATGGAAAGATGAATGGTGAATGATTAAAGAGAATGAGAGAATTGATGAATGCGAATGAAAACTGGTTGTAGGTGAATCAAAACGGAGTTTTTAATACGTTATTTATAGAGAAAATATGCCAAAAAGATAAAATTAACAAAACAGAGTCATGGCGCACAGAAAAACGAACCAGCGCCAACGGTAGCTGTTGGCGCCAAGAGCCAAGCGTAGCGCCAGGCGCTACAGCTGGCGTTTGGCGCTGATTCCATAAATTCACGCATTTTCTAAAATCAGATAAAATTTCCATTCAGAAGGATAGAATCGTATTTTCCTCAAAAATGCTCTTTGATTTTAATTAAAACTCTGAAAAGTCAACAAAAGTCAATTTATCAATGCTAATTGAATTAGGAATGATAAGAACCTTCTAGAAGAATCTAGAAGACTAATACTATTCCAAATTGCATTAGGAATGATAAATAATATTAGGCGCCCCCTAGATCATTGGGCCGCATATAAGGCTCAAACCAGGCCTAGTTTAGTAAATTGGCCATAACTTCCTCAATATTCATCGGAATTGGGCTTATAATATATAGTTGGAAAACTCTTGTCAAGCCCCATCCAGCTACACTATTATTGGACCCATATCATGGACCACCCAAACTGAATTGGCTGTTTTCTTAAAATAAGTTTTCAAAAACCGAGAGAAGAGAAAATAAATTAAAACTATCCGCAACACTAAACTTTCCACACTTTCACTTCATTCGATTATGATTCGACGCGAAAGGTACTCATCACTAGGTTTGGTTTTGGGGAGACACAAATGGGTGTCTACAGAAGCCCCTACTTTGACTGAGTTTGGAAAAACGAACGTTTCG